GCTAATGTGCTTAAATTAAGTAAAAAAACTTTGCTACTTTTTGGGGGAAGGGGAGAGGGGAACACAGAATCAGTATATGTTGTCTTTGAAAATAAAATATATAAAATATTTTGTATCTTAAAAAAGGAATCTAGGACGCTGGCTGAAATAGCAAAGGCAGAACTTGATGGTACTATTTTGAAGAGCAGACCACTTCGAATTCGATTTGCTACGCATGGAGCTGCCCTAACAGTCAAGAATCTTTCACCTGTGGTTTCTAATGAGCTGCTGGAACAAGCATTCTCTCAATTTGGGCCAGTGGAAAGAGCTGTTGTTGTAGTAGATGATCGTGGCAGAGCTACGGGAAAAGGTTTCGTAGAGTTTGCAGCAAAACCTCCAGCACGGAAAGCTCTAGAAAGATGCAGTGATGGGGCATTCTTGCTAACAACGTAAGTGCAAAAGGCTTGTGTTTGAGTTTGTGAAAGAAAACTACATTCATGGATATTCCATAGTTCTTGTTTTATTTTCAAATTATGAAAGCCATGAGGTGAGAAATTAAGGGTTTTTTTATATGAATATAGGAAATAATCTGATGTGTGGGGGTTGTTTTTTTGGTTTTGGTTTTGGTTTTGTTTCTGTTTTTTGGGGGGTTTTTTGTTTGTTTTTGCCAGGAAAACTCTCTGCTTACTTGTAATTACCATATGAGAGTCTGATAGCAACATTTTGCTTTCCCTTGTCTGTATACAATATTACTTTTGCTTTTCTATATAGTAGGACTTTCTCTAGTGAGACTTCATTTTAACTGATTGCACACTTCCTGATCCCAGTAACAATGTGACAAAGTAATATTCCTCTGTTTCTTCGAAAACAGCGCACCACATTGCTGATACTTCTGTAAACTCAGGAAAGTGTTACTGTGTTTATTTCTATCTCAAAAGTCTTATTTGTGGCTTGAAAGGCCAGAAGAACTCTTTTTTTTTTTCTTTTTTTTTTTTTTTGAAAATGAAGACTTAGATTTTGTAGAAGTTTATGGCAACAATCTCTGAAAAACTTTCTATTTCAAGGGCGAGCAAGCTTGCAAAGCACAGCACTTCTCTCTTGCAGCTCTTATTTCTGTACTTGCTGAAGAGAGTTGTTAACTGATGTGCTTTAACACATTCACATTTTCAAATGCTTTCTTAAGACTGTGTGAAATGATAGATATTCAGGATTTTTTTTTTTTTCTCATTTTTTTCAAATGGGAAAATAAGGCTGTGGTTTCACAGCATGGAAGCTTGCTGCCATCAAGTTGGGGAACTTGTAGTTCTTTTTCTCTTCCTGCCCTGGTTGTACTGTTGGTTTTTCTGGAGAACTTTTGGATACTTCCATAAGCCACTTGTGCTTGCTAAAACAACAGAAGACTATTCTGCCAGTTTTGTTGCGTTCATTTTTGGCTGTTTAAGCACACAAAGGTGCTGCTAACATGGGTGCTATGAACATCAGGTCCAGCAGAGGATGAGGCAGAAGAAAATGTTGCCAGGAGGACATTGCAGGTGGGGAAAGAGTCTGGAACTCCTCTTGCTCATGATAAATCTTTGAGTGCCACTGAACTGACCTGGTGGCCTCAGAGTTATTCAATCTGAGTACATCTTTACTGTTATTAGTAAGTGCCAGCAATTTGTTCTTATCCCCTGGGTTTTCTTGGCACTTGTATTTGAATGGGAGCATGGTGAGCCAAACTAGGGAACTAATCTAGTTCAGTGTTACATGGATGCTATTCTTGGCATGAGAGATGTGGCGGGGAAAAAGAAGCTGGGATATGAGGGAGGGTATTTTTGTTTTACCAGCTGGATAGATTAGTTGGATTGAAATGACCATCTGAATGTGGCCCGAGTAAATAAAAAGCTCTTGATCTTTGTCTTGCTTAGGGGGCTGACTTGTTCCCTGATGCACAGTTGCAAAGATAATTAGCATCAATCTGATGCTATGATACTTTAACACTTTGCTTCAGAATCTAAAATTTTACATTTTTAGCTGAAAACTCTTTGCCTGATCAGAAGAAAATCTTTAAATTCATGGGCTAAATATATCAAATCAAAACTAGGCATTTGAAGAGTTAATTAGAGGTTTAAAATTGTTTTAAATCATAACTTTTTAACGCCATAGTTCGGTTGCATTTAAATAACAGAACTGCCAGAAATTACCATGCAGATAACATCAGGAGGAAGAGTTGCTGAGTTGTGCCCTGTGATTCCAGAAAGACAAAGTCTTTCCAGTCTGCACTCAATGCATGAAGTTCTTTTTCAGCTGTCGCTGTTGTTAAAATATATTGATTTTTTTTCTGTGAAAAGAACTGCAAAGTGAAGTAAAGGTGTGGAACACAATAAAATAAGTGCTGGTGTTTTGAAAGTAGCGTCTCTAGCACTTTTCTCAGCACTTTAAGGTGTGTAGTATAGGTGATGCTCCCAAGACAGATACAGAGAGCTTTTTACACAATTGAGGATCCTTACATTGCTGTCCTTGGCAGTACTGGCTAATACTTGCCTCTGATCACTATAGATAACAAGAATTCAAGGAAGGTATTTTCAAAGATAAACTTGGGTTCTGATTTGTAAGACTATGGTTGTTTAAAGAGTGTTTTTTAAGTAGAAATGTTTTTGTAATTATCACTGGAATATGAATTCCAAATTCTCAAACTGTTATCAGTTGTAGAGTGACTTTCAAAAGAAACTTAATATTTTATGGACATATGATTGAGTTGCATTTGTTCCCTTTTGGGTTTCTTTGGTGCTTTCCCAATATAATCATGGCCTCTGTGTTGCCTCACTGAAAACAAAAAAGCAGTTCCTTCCTAAATATATTGTAATTGTTTTGGTATATATTTTTAATCTTTAAATACTTCATAGCAAACAGAACTACGTCAAGTAAATTGTGGTTTCTATGCAGAATAGCTGATTTGGGGTATAGAAACAATTATTTTCAAGGATAATTATTAAAATCAGGATTCATTGAAATTCTGTGATTTAAGAAGATAGATAATGTTTAGCTTTTTGGAGTGTTTCCTCAAAATACCAAAATAACTGCTTCATTTATGATTCAGTTATTAAATTGAAACTGTCTTCCAGAACACCTCGACCTGTTGTTGTAGAACCAATGGAGCAATTTGATGATGAAGATGGGCTCCCAGAGAAGCTAATGCAAAAAACACAACAGTATCACAAGTAAGTTGTGTTTAGCTTTATTTTATAAAACATGATTTATGTACTTAGCTTGGTAAATAAATGCTAATTTTTTTTTTTAACTCACGTAACAGGAAGTAGTGTCTTGTATGTTGTGCTGTTTTGTGCCAAAGGATTAAGTAGGACCATGCCAAGATTTCCTAATCATAGTAAAATTCAGACTTACCGTGTTGGTTTAACATTTTGTGCTTTTCATAAGAGTCATGGCCTACACTGAAATCAGGTGGAACTTGTTTCTAGGCAAGGTATAGTCTTTCACGGATTAGGAGTGTGGTCTAATCCTGCAGTGATTTGAACAACCACAGGTTTTTTGTTCTCTGAATAGCCCCTTAACTGTTCGTAAAGTCAGTGGAGTGTAATCTTGGCAGCTTCCACTGTTCCACTAAAACTTTGAGTGTGACATGAGAAAGCGAGTCTTGATCATGAGGTGGAAGAGGAGATACCTAATCTGATAATATTAATTTTTAATATTGAAATTTGTTTGCCATTTAGAAATCGTGTTGCTTGAAGCTTATTTTTATAAGGCTGTAGAACACCACTTTTAAAAAATGTGTTCTTAGTTGCAATTTTAGTATTAGAATGTGAAATAAAAATGTTGGCACTTTTTACTGTGTAGAGATTCTGGATGGTATTTTGAGCTGTCCAGGAAGGTTTAATATTTATTTAAATAACTGGTTTTATAAATTGACTGCTTGGTTTAGAAGGCTGGAAACAGTTAATCTAGTGTTGCAGCTTAGTATTTTGTACTGATGTAAACATTATTTTTTACCTTAAAATTATATTAATTGAAAAGATTTTATTTGGACAATTTCTTTGATCACATTACTTGTCATAACAGCTGAATTAAGCTTTGACTGGTTTAGAATGTAGTCATCTGACAGCTTGATTTAAAGTCAGATCTACACTTAAAGTGATTCTAAGTTCTTTGGCTGTTACAGCTGTTGATCTAAATGTGTCCTTCTCTACATTTTAACTGCAACATTTTTATTAGGGAAAGAGAACAGCCTCCACGTTTTGCTCAGCCTGGAACATTTGAGTTTGAGTATGCTTCACGGTGGAAGGCTCTTGATGAGATGGAAAAGCAACAGCGTGAACAGGTTGACAGGAACATTAGAGAAGCCAAAGAGAAACTAGAGGCAGAAATGGAAGCGGCTAGACATGAGCATCAGCTAATGCTGATGAGGCAAGGTAAAATCAGATAATCTACTAGTATTAAATTTGTTTCATCACAGATTTTCTTTGCGTAGCATATTGAGCTGTATGTTAAAAATTTTGCTAGATGCTATTTAATTAAATGCATTGAACTGAGAAAAAGGAAGTTCTATTTCTCCTTACACATATTCCTTGATAATTTGCAGAAATTGGTTAAGAAAATGAGAAAGGAGTGATTGTCTAATTCTGTTTTCTTCTTAAATTTGTGGAGTGTAAGTAGTTTATGTAAAGAAATTGAATGGTAGCTTCACGCTCATCAGTAAAATTATTTTCCATTTTTGGTGTTGCTTATGGTACTACATGGGACTAAGTACTGTGGGCAATGCACAAGAAAAAATAAAAAATAGCAACTTGTACTTCTGGCTGTTTTGTGCACATCTGGCAGGATTTTAAATGTTTCAGCAGCTAATGTTAATTTTTTTTTTTCCTTTGAAACCCAGCTGAGAAGTCTGATGTGTGCGTAGCATGATATGTATGTAACAACTCAAAATAACTCACAGTTGCCATGAATTTCAGTCATTCTTGAAATTTTAAGATCAGGTATCTGTCTTTTGTAGCTGTTTGGACATTTTGTCGTCTTGGTAGTATTGAGGGAAGAAAGTCCTCTAGCATTTACTTTCAAGTCCTGTCTTTAATAATGGAGCTTGTGTTTCTTGGGCAGAGAGGACAGTAGCAGGACGAGTATCTGGTACTTTCTGATTGTTAGCCTTCTCCCCAAAACATGTTTTCCCAAAATGCTGTGGATATGCAGTCGCTGCTTTCAAGTTCAGAACTGTTGAACTACCACTTTATTTTAGTTCCCTCTGCATGACTGCTAGATTGCATGACTTGAGTGGATCAACTTTAAATATATTGGAGATTTGTCAGAAAGGATCTCAAGGTTTGTTGCATGAATGAAATACTGAAGTATTTTTTTTTAATCTTATGTTAAGGGAGATCATGGCTATGTAAAAAAAAATCTTATCCCTAAGAGTGTGAGATCATAAGACAGTACAATAACTAGCTTGATGGGCTGAATAAGAGTGCCTTGGTATTTTAAAGGGATTTAAACTTCTTGAGATTTTAAGCAGGGGATGCGTTTCTAAACGTAAAGCCAGGTAACTCCTCATACAAGCTGTCTGCTGCAATTGTTTGGCTTCAGTTAATGTTTACTCATAAGAAGGGGTATTTTTGTTGGTAGTGTGACTTTCCTGTGTGAGACTGGTTTATCTTCATTTTTTCTCCTGACTTGAACGACATGTTGAAAATATCTGTGAGCTGGATTAGAGTATTCACTAGGTTAGTGATTGGAATTAAAGCACCTAAATGCTTGGGTATATTGAATGTAAATACATAGTCTTTTAAAATAGGTTTTAAAACATTTTCTTAATTGGAAAAGAGATTAAAAAGAGTATATTTCATTTTTATATAATATTCTTAGATCTACTGCAACTGAAAATTGCCATTAAGAAAAGGTTTTCATAGCCTGTTTTTTCTAAATTGACATGTTTGCTTTTAGTGTGAAAGCATACTGTTTGTGTAAGATCTTGTACTGAAACGCAGAGCATAGTAAAATAAAAAATTGTTCTGAAATACCAAATAGTTATTGAAGCATCTAAAATGACAACTGTCAAGTAGTTTCTTGGTTTATTTTCCAAGCAAAAAATGTTTAAGCATTTGCTTTGCATGTAAGCGTAGGTATAACTTACAGATGAGGAATGTGAATGTTAATGTGATATAACAGCAATGCCTGTAATATACAGTACAGCCCCCTCTTTTCAATTAGACACACATTGTTAGTTTTCTGTATCTGATATCATGTGTACTGATATCATGTGTACACAACATCATGTGTAACTGATATTGTTAAAAATGGTTCAGTGCTCAAAATACAGGTTGGGTAGAAAAGGTTTTGGTGATAAAACATGGGAGAACTGCTTAGGTATGCTTTGGATATTAAGGTTTTTATATAGGATACTGTGAGGGGGAAAAAATATTCCTTTCTTTGAATATCTATTAAGCTTCACTTTTATTTGGAAAAGGAAGTGAATTACCTCTTCTGTTAAAGACCCACTAGACTATTAATGCTTTTGGTGCTAATATTCCAGTGAGGAAACATGCTTTTTTTTTCAGTCTGGGAGGAAGGTTTTTTCCTTCGCCATTTGGTTAACCGAGTACTTCTCTTTGGTACCAGGTAACTTGGAATTTTGTTCAGATAACTAGATTTCTGCTTGTTTACCTGCAGTGTTCAATTTGCCAAACTCAGACATTAGCTGCTTCTAGCTGCTGCTGGTCTAAACAGTGTCTCTGGTTGTAAGTTCAGACCGTGCCAAGAATATATATAAATGAGATTGCATCTTTCGTAAAAACCTTGTGATGCAGTGAAACTTTGGAGAAACATCAGAACCTAGAATTAATGTTTTTGAATACCTGATACACAAACCACAGATTTAAAGATGTATTGAAGTAGTTATTCTGAAATATGAAATGCAATATATTAATTGTCAGAAGCTAAAAAGAAGATTGGAAGGGTGAGCTTCCCACAGTCCGTATACTCCTGCAGGTGAAGGTTTTGTAGAAATTGCTGCATGACAGCTAGTAGGACTTGAACTAGAACATGTGGGTTTAAGTATTCAGGTTTTTGTGGTGTGGTATTAATACTGAAGGTAGACTTCATTGTTTTGATATGCGTAATTTTTCACTTTTAAGTGTCATGTTTTGACAGATTGAGTCAGAAGTAATTTGTAAAGCAGAATACGTGTTTCCATGTGTAAGTAAATTGGTATGATATTTCTGATCTACATATTTGTGGTATGCTTCAGACTGTAAATATTCTCTCATAATGGTGGTTAAATAGTTTATGAAAATACTGGAAAACATGATGGAGTTTAACTGGAAGCTTCATTCTTTATCAGTTGTATGGAAGATGGTCATTTGTTTTCCATTTTTAGAAAAGTCAGCAGCTAAAACAACTTACAATCTTTTTGGACTTGGTATCCCTGCTTGTAGGATTACATCTAAGATGAGAGTACACTTTCACCTTCTGCCCTCTGCTCTGCAGAAGGTTGAGTATGAAATTAAGACCTTGCTGATTTTTAAGCACAAGAAAAGGCAGAAGTGAATAATAACGCTTTCTGTCTTTCTATTTCACAGCTGCTTTAGTGCAGGTTGTTTCTGTTAAGAGAAGGGGCCTGTGTTCAACATATGTCAGTCCCAAATTACCATCATTCCAGATCTTTTAATATGAGAGGCTCTGTGCGCAGCCCAAACCTGTAGATCTGTATTTCATCTGGCTCTAAGGCTTTGTGCCAAGATTCTGCCTTTGTCAAATTGTACTGGATCATAAATTGATATGTTGAACTTTAAAATCCTAACACTTTCAGGAAAGGCAATAATCAGAACCATACTGTGGAAAAAAATACAGAGGACACCAGGAAAAGTAGAACTCTACACCTTAAGAATAAAGGGGAGTAAATAATAACTTTGTAGCAACTAGCAGTAGAGAGAAAATAGGAAATCCTGTGCCATGGTATTAACAAAAGAAAAAAGGAGTTCTACATAAATTTGAAAGAACAAAGAACTGAAAAGGAAACATCTTTTCCCACAGTGGACAATATTGAGCTCCCTAGGTTCTCCCCAAGTATCAGGGTAACAGTGGCCAAGCCTTCTGTGGCAAGCACAGTTGGAAGGAAGCAGCCCTCAGACATTGTGATTTGAGTGAATCTTTAATACAATCATATTCTGTTGAAGTGTGAAATGTGTTAATTTTGCAGAAGAAATTTGAAAAGCAAACTTGTAAAATGTGCTTGAGAAAGGACTTCTAATGTCAGTAAGGATGCTGTGAGAGTAAAAATCTGATAATCTTTTTTTGTTAGAAAAGAAAACAGATTTTTCTGAAATGTATTAGTCATTGTAGTTGCTTTTGGATATTAAAGTAAAAGATTAAGTTGTAATAATATATGCTGATATAAGTTTGAGGAAAGTGATTTGCATAGCTAAAAAGATTATTTAATTAGCATAGTGAAGAACTGCATAGAAAAATGTGTGGAGTAGTTGAACTGACACATAAAAGGCATACAATGGTATAGTGGAATGTTTCTCATGGTGTCTATAAATAATGCCATGTGGGCATATCATGACCAATATCCTAATAAGGTAGAAAAACTGCTTTCTAACAAGAGGTAGAATTAATATTCATTGAAGAAAGCATAAATTTCCAGGCAGACATCAATAATGTGACTGGTCAGAAACTAGTACCGTAAACATAATTAATACTAGTTGCTCCCGGCTTTCTAAGAGCATTTTAAGTCCTTTTTAAGAGGATATGGCTGTTCTTTTCTGGTAGTGTTCAAAGATTAGTCCTTTGTCTATAAGCAGAGTCATTGATAAATCTCTATGGAGGCTCAGATTACATGCACCTAAAATTCATACCACTTTTTTCTGATGTGTGCCATGCACTGTTCTGCAATAGGTAGTGGAGAGTATAAATTCACATATATATTTTGTACTAGTTTTGTTGCCACTGTGACTTTAGCAGTATACAGCATTGTGAGAAAATTGATGCCTTGCCTGGATGTAAAACAAGGATATGATTTAAGAGACTGAGAGCTTTTCTCCTTTTCTTTGTTTGAGGACTTCCGATTTCTGTTTCCATAACTTGCTTCACAAGCTTTGCCAGTCCTGTACCTTTCTGTGTTTCTGGGAGCTGAGGATCCAGTGTGTTTTTTCATATACTAGACCTAGCTTTATGGGAAGCAACTACTTGAATGCATTGAGAAATTTCTTTTAAAATTGAATGTTTGAACTGTAATAGCTATTTCTTGTGTTGCCACATTTTTGATTGATAGCTTTTATCTTTATTACATTTTTACTCCTGTTAGATCTCATGCGACGTCAAGAAGAACTGAGGCGTTTGGAAGAACTTCGAAATCAAGAACTTCAAAAGCGCAAGCAGATACAATTGAGGTATTTAGTCTCCTACTGTGCAGAGGTGTGGCATGCAGCTGCTGTAGGCATGTGTGAATTTAGATACTGTAGCTTGTAGAGCTTGCTTTTGATATCAAATAAAAATGTTTCTGCTGCTAAAAAGATGCTTTTCAAAAACATAATGTATGATGCTTCTGTTAGCGTTCTTGAACAGAAATGTGATCAGTTACGCTAATGTGTAATAGTGGTTTCAAGTCTTGCTTGATTTTTTTCATTTATTTCAGCTCTGCTAGCTCTGTTGTAAATTTCTGAGGATTCTAAATAGTGTAGAAATACCTTGATGTAAATTTTTTTGTTTCATATTATTATTTTAACCTTATGACTGACGCATAGCTGTAATAGTGCTTCTAAAATTTACGGGCAGGTGATCTGTATGCAGAACAGTAGGTAGCGTTGCAAGTTTATAGACTGACATGAGATTTTGGGGGGGTTTTCACTTGATGTTATGGTATATTGCAAACAATTTTTCCTTAAGATCTGTTTCATACAAATACTCGTTTTCATGCTTCTGCTAAAATTTAAGAAAATAGACATAGTATTATCATGTTGATTGAGTTTGTAATCTTAATATAATCTTAATGTTAAATAGTGACTTGTTTAAAACTGGACTATTTTAGCCTGCTTAGCAATATGTAGACAGAACAACAGGTACAGAATGTACTGGTATTGTAATTACCTATATTCCAGTTAAAAATAGAATTAAATACTTCAATAATATTTAAACCCATCAGGTGAAGTAGATTAGTGCCAAACATTATATAACAAAAAAAAAATTACCAGTTTTGTTAATATGCTTGATCTTATCTCCTGAGACTGAGTACAAGTCTGAACAGGTCAAGAGTCTAAATTGACGTAGTTTTTGAAAAATATTCTAGGCATGAAGAAGAACATCGACGTCGTGAAGAAGAGATGCTACGCCAGAGAGAGCAGGAGGAATTACGCCGACAGCAGGAGGGAGGATTTAAGCCAAATTTCATGGACAATGTAAGTAAAATTCTATGACAAAAGTCCAAATTGTAAAGGATTTTTTTTTTATTGTCATATTTTTAAATACTAAATATTGAGCTGCCGCCTTCTTGTTTACTGTTTTTCCTTCAGTACTCCATTGTTCTCATGAGTTGGGGTGGTACAAATTTAGTAGTGTAGTTATTCTCTTGTGCGATGGCATCACTGTTGTTTTTCCTACAAGTTGGTGATGTAACGCTTCAGTTAAGTGAATGTGTTCAGATAATAATCTGACTTTTTTATTCCGGAAATGAATTTTTTCAATAAGACAATAGAATTTTTTTTAAGTGGGAGGTCATGGAAATAAATCATGTTTCCATGAGGAGGTGCCCTAGTTTGACTGAAGGTTTATATTTTAAACCAGTTCAGGCTATTCAGCTTGTTTGAATTGCTTGTTTTAGTTTATGCTTAACTTATTAAGAATAATGTACTTAAGAAATCAAATAGGCAGTGTTAATGTCATATGGAGCCTAAAATCACTCTCCCCTTCAAGTTGTTGTAAAACTAGATGAGGAAAGCCTCAAAATCTTTACTAAAGGAGACGGAAAAATTATAAAGGTGGGGGGAAAAATTGTCCTCTGTTATAATTTCTACATTATTTATATTAGTAATTTAGGTGTGTTCTGCCTCTGAAGACTGTCCTGCAGGACTAGCAAAATGGTGATGTCCGAGGGGCCACTTCTAAATTTTCATGATGATCTATTTTGGTCAAGGGTATGATTATTTTTCTACCAACCAAAGCAGTTAAATGAACGCAACCTTTATTAGGAATGCTTTAGTTTCATGTGTTACAGCTATTCTTAGTGAGGAAGCAATGAGTAAGTGATCCGTGCAATGCTCTTTTACATTATTATAGCAACTGTAGTCTGCAGGAGGGAATTTTGCTCTCCTTCACAGGTACAACTTGATTCATAAATCAAAAGTAAACTGCTGGGTTTTCAGCTACTTTCTGATTTAGTGTTTTGTGGAAGAAATACCTATTTTACATTCCATACCATAACATTTTCTGTAGAGTTGAGAAGAATGTACTATGTGAGTTCTGAGACATCCTAAAGAGAAGTTAGAAAATACAAGATTTCCTGTTCTCAGCAGGACATCTTTTTTCCCCTCATCCTCTGTACCTTAGTATTTTTAGTAAAGGTGGGGATGAAGCAAAATTATTCCTTTGTTGCTAACAGCTCTAAGTTGATTTTGCTGATTGTGCTTTGAAATGTGCAGCAGAAAACAATCAATCATTTCCATATGTGTTCACACTGTAAAAGAAAACTGCTTTCAGCATGTCTTTTCTTTGTGGTAATGAAGATCAAGAATTCAAAACTTATCCTTTAGTGTGTTCCCACATATTATTAAACATACTTAGTGAAATAGCATATTACAATGTCTAATGTAATTTAGAAATAGCGTGTATTGATTATGACTTCTGTAGTGCCAAATACCAAATTTCATTTCACCTTAATATCTGCATGTAGCATCTTTTAGCGTAGCCTGAATTTCTGACCATGTGTCAAAATCTTCCTGTGGCTGATGTGGGACTTATGCTGCTACTCACTGCAGAGAGCTGCAGGAAGGGGAGGATGGGGGGAGCCAAGCCACAGCCTTGAGATGGCTGTAGCTCCCTCAGATTTCATTACTGTTAGGAAATTGTGGCCTATATCCTGCAGCTTGGGGTGCTAGGGAAAACTACGTGGTGTTGATCACAGCAAACTCCTGGTTTTCTTCTTGCAGATGTCTTGAGGTAATGTCATTTAGTTTCTGTGCTTGAATTGCTTGCCACAGCTTGGCCATCCTTGTGCTTATCTGAATCTTTAAATTCCACACTGTATGTGAATAGAAACTGTTCAAGTTAGTGTGCTGGACGTAGCAAAAATGTAGTGTAAGAAGGGAAGAGGAATGGTTCAAATGGAAAGCACTTCAATCACTATGCATAATTTTTGTGACTTTTATTTGATGAAATTTTTGGGAGGGAAAGGTAAAGGTGGAAGGATGCTTTGGAAGAGCGTAGCTTTCCCACTGAGTTGGAATACTGGAACTGTGTACTCATCTGGAACTAATTAATACACTGCAAGAATATATAGATGTAGCTGTGCAGTGTCAACCTTACCAAAACTGTTATAAGTTATATAAAGGAATATGTAGTACAGGTAAGGGGTTTTTTTAATGTCATACAAAATTGAAGTGGCAATATCCAATAATTTTAAAAAATTTTCTCTAGGCTGCAGACTAGTTTTTAGTAATCTGGTCATGTGTTGACTCTATGATGTTTTACTTCTAATGTCCTTTGAACTTTAAAAGGAGAAGAATTGAAACGATTGGAAGGGATGTATTTATTTACTTTCTTCAGCAACTGTTTCTAATAAGGGCAGCTATGCAACTCTAAACATGGCCTGTCATTTTACAGGTGTTCATTATAATATGTCTTTAGCTAACTGTACTTAAGTTGTATACTGTGAATGGGACTTGGAAAAGCCTTTGCAGTTTTGCAAAAGAAAAGAATTGTAAACTATTTTTGGAGATTGCAAAACGATACACCAAATCTTTTTTTCAATTTAGTAGAGTTTCTTGTAAACTAATTTTTTTTATTTTATTCTTACTAATTCTTGTTCGTGGTGAACAGACTCCATCTGGTAATTTCTTCTAGTCTCAGATTACCATTGTACATACACTAAAAAAAATTATTCTCTGTTTTAAGAGTTTAAAAGTTGCCTCTAAGTGAAAATTGTATTTTATGATGCTGGTGGATAGTTTCTACCATATCAGGTCTTGATGAACTCTTTTGGCATATTCCTTATAACATATTGAAACCTCTGCCAACTCTGTATTTAGAAGGAAAATAATAATTGTTGCTAATCCTTGTTTTTGTTTCTTAAAAGCTTTGAAAAGTAAGTTTCCTTCACTTATATCCTATCCCTTTTTACTGTTCAGTGTAAAAGAAGGAAATAAATGGTAAGTGCAATGACAACCTGAATTGGAACCTCTCGTATAAGTCTGCAGTATTAGGCTTTCCTACTTAAAGTTCTTTCTGTATCTTTTCCCTAACTTGTTAAGTATTGATTTTTCTATATAGGTACTTTTGGAAAACTTGTAATCAGGTTTTATAAACCAGTTACTTGGTTTAATTGCAGATAATAAAAATATTTTCTGTGTGGGGATTTATCTTCTCACATTCTTGTTCATGGTGACGTACATTAAAAATTTGATTGCATTGATTGTTAATCTAATGGGCAGCCTAGTGATGCCTAAACAATTTATTAATGTAGTTGTGTGATTTCTAGTAGATAAGTTATTGGTAAACACTTCGGTATTGGTTAGGGTATTTCCCTTGCTTTGTAAAAGTTGCTTAGTTTAAATCTGCTGTTACAGCTCCATATATATCCATTCTAATTTTATGAGAGCTTAATCAGGAAACTTGTTTTCCTGTAGTATTTTGCTAATTTTTATTTTGCATACATATTTGTTGCTGAAAGAGGAGCTTGCTGATGGTGATTGGAAGCAATATTTAATTTTTCAGCAGCAAAAAATTATTACTTATAAGTGCTAGTGGTACATTAATTATTCAAACTGCAATGGTTACTCTGCAATTGTGAATAGCTTACAAAGATTTACATTGTTAAATCTCAATTAGAGCCTTTTTACCAAATAATTTCAGTATCAGGAACTACTTTTATTCATGACACCAACTTCGAAAAGTGAAAAGAGAATGATTTGAATTTAGTGTATTAAAATAGTCACATGTCTACAAAAGAGACCAAAATATGTAGGAGATGTAGTCTTAGTTTATGGTGCACAGATTTCATCCTTCAGTAACACTGTAAAATAGTGTCAAGTGGGTATTGTACTTAATGAAACAATAGCTGTGATACTGGCCTACAGTTTACAACTCTTCTTACTGGTGGTTTAAAGAGGGAATTGAGTTTTTTTGATGTCCTGGTCCTCTTCCATCCAAGGAAACTACCCCATTTTAAAGTGTAACTTGCATATGTAAGGATGTTTCTTGTGAGTTTCAACTGCTGAATATTTACTGTTCTTTCATGTAAGACTTTGTATATCAAATACTTAACTTTTTTTTATCTCCTAGTCTTTTCAAGAATTATTTCTAGATCTTGCTTTGCTTTCCTTTAAGTTTTCTTGCACAGAAGCACTGCTGCTCAAGTATGTTGTGTAAGTATCAGCCTAAAGTGGCATCCGCTAAAGCAGTGGAGATGGCCTCAACAGCAGAAGTTGTAGTGGACTTGGATCAAGAGCTGTAAGACAGATGAGAGCAAGGGAGTGAGAAGAGCTCATCCCAAAGCAACAGAAAAAAGTTCATAGCTTCAGGAATCCCAGAAACTTGATTGAAAAAAACCTACCACATATTTAGGCTTCTAAGAGATTTGTCCTTCTTTGGAGCAGTTTATAAATGCAGCTTCCCATTTATTTATTATTTTGAGCCTACTAAGGTATGTTTGCAAGTTAAGCAGTAGACGTTTTTGAAACAAGACTATCAGATTTCCTTGGACTTCTATAAATCAGGAATAGGTTTTTGCACACCTTGGCTCTTAAGTGAATAGAACTGCATGGTTTTTTTTTCTACCTTCTGATTCTCATATGCTCAAAAGCCATAGTTACATATGAAGTTTGAATTTTCACAGAATGCAGAATTGTTTCTTACCTTATTGCAAACTAAACTAAGCTAAGGGAGATTTCCAATAATAAGTAAATTAATAAAAATTTCCAACGATCTTTTAAAATTTGATCTGTTTTCTACTAATAATAAATTTTGGTTATTTTACTTTCACAGCCTAGTGGACTTAATGAAGCTGATGGTGGTAAAGTTTTGTGAGGTTGTATGAATAAAGTCCCTGTTTCTTAACAAACTGCTATAAAGCTAAGCTGCTTTATAAAAGCGCTTTTGTAGAGCTTGGTTGGGGGAGATGAATTACCTCCTTATTGCAATCCAGCATCCATATTCGTGGAAGAAATAGTTCATGTTTGACACCTTA